GGTGGCCTGGGGGAGGCCCGTGGCCTGAGGGGAGGCTCATGGCCTGGGGTGGAGGCCACGCATGCTGGCTGGTGGCCTGGGGGAGGCCCGTGGCCAGGGTGGAGGCCATGCAAGCTGGCCCGTGGGAGAACTGCTGGCATCCATGGGGACACCGCCATGTTGGCACCCCACCTTGTGCCCCCACCACCCTGTCTTCACCCAGCCTGTTTATTTCTTGGCATCTGGTCTCTGGGGTACGGGTCTCCGCTGTGGCTCGTGCCGTCCCCGTTCCCGTGGTATCAGGCGTGAAGCATTGCAGCATCAGCCAGGCTCCAGGCACAGGGCCACGGGGGCTCTGCTGAAAGCCAAGCACTGTTGGGATCAGGAGGGACAGCAAGGAAGACCAGCCTGCTCCTCCCACTTGTGCGACCCCGTGTGTCCCTGTGGCTGGCGTTCAGCGCGGGATATGCCGCCTTCACCTCCTCCTTAGCCAGGGTTCTCTTTCCTGGTTGTTTCCTTGCTCTTTAGCTAATAATCTTTGTTACTATAATCTTGTCTCTGCAGATGGATCACGACCCTAGGAACCCGGCTTACATCGCCACCCAGGGACCACTGCCTGCCACCGTGGCCGACTTCTGGCAGGTGAGTCTGCTTGAGTTAAAACTTTTTCTGAAAATGGGATCTTGATAAATTGATAGTGGGTGATGCCTTGGATTCGACTCAGTAAATGTGAACTTGTTTTTAGGTGTTGCTCGTCAAATGTTACTTGATTTCAGAATTTATACGGGTCCTTTGATGTTTTTTATTATCTTTTGTTTTTCAAAACTTGAGTATGAAAATTCCCTTCGAGAGATTGAATGCTTTAAAGACCCTTACTTTTTTAACCACCTTACAATTTTATTTCATGAAGTACAAAGAAATGAAATTAATAAGTCTTTATTACATTCTGTTCAAATGTGTCCTTATCTATTGTTCTCTCCCTATGAAAGTAAAAAATGGTGCTCAAATTATAGTTTCTCTTCCTTGTAGATCCTCTGTAATGCGTTTTAAGGGCCAGGCAAGTCTGCTTTGTCCAGCATAGCCTGGACGCCCAGACAGAGGCTCAGCCACTGAGAGCCAGTGTGAGCACATGCCACAAAGGGCAGAACGGGAGAGCGAGGGGCCCCCCTCCTTCCCCCGCATCCTCCTCAGGCCTCAGCCGTGCCACAGAGCTAAGTGGGAAGGGGCTTCGGAACGTGGCACGGTCGCACGAACTCCCCCGTGCGTCAGGCACGCCACTGCCCCGGCCCTGGCAGGGGGACTTCCGACAGGCAGAGCCCACAGAGGACAGAGGTGAGACAGCAACCAGCGCAGGGGCTCGCGGGTGGACGGAGCGCCTGTTAGGACGGCAAGCCACCCACCCCCAGCAGCGTGGCCATGCGTACAGATGGGGCCACGTGGGTCCCCTAGGCTGCTCTCCAGAGTGTCTGGAGGTCTGACGTTCATGGAACGGAAGAAGCCATCTTTAAAGGAAGCAACCTGAGAAAAATGACCAAGTGCAAGATCACAGCCTTGGTCACACTGCTCAGGACCCACTAGTGTCCCTCCAAATGGGGGCAGGTGTCCCGGGACAAGAAGGCTTTGCGGCAACGGGCTAGCCCTCCTGGGATTACCGTACACAAAAACACGTCGAAGCCGCTGAGAAGTCTGTCGTAAAGAAAGTGCTTCAACTCTGTCTCCTCCAAATGCCCTTGAGCGAGACGCCGTGGTCTCGAGGAAGGCTGGGGGCACAACTTCTCCATGGCTGCCATAACATAACAAAGTAGGACAGAAATGCTGGAGGCTGGCGGCCTGAGACCCAGGAGTGGGCAGGACTGGTTCTACTCGGGGGCTCCGCAGGAGAACCTGCTCGTGCCTGTGTCTCCGGCTTCTGGTCGTGGCCAGCACTGCTGGGGGTCCCCTGGCTCGTGGATGCATCACTCCCGCTTCTGCTCCATCCACGTGGTGACCCCTCCATAGGGGTCAAATTTCACTCCTCTTAGAAGGTCGCTGGTCATTAGACTTGGAGTCCATTCTGGCCAGTGCGGCCTCCTCTTGAGCTCACCTGCAGAGGCCCTATTTCCAAAGAAGGTCACGTCCACAGGTCCCAGGTGTGTGTGACCTTTGGGAGACACTACTCCGCCCATTGGAGTGGCTGAGAAACGAGCATGGACTGAGACTGAATACTTTGCTGCTGAGAAAGACACGTGACCACTTCGGGAATCCAGAGAGAGGCTGCTGGGCAGTGGGGGCAGGGAGGTGGGGGCCAGGAGGGGCTGTGAAGGTCAGGGCAGGTCAGCGAGGGGGACACAAGCCAGGCCTAGCATGTCCAGAATGCGGAGGTCCCCAGTACTTCTCAATTACCTTGCAGGAAGGAACTAACGCCTGGTCCTGCAGCCTGTGACAGCCCACAGGCACCAAAAAGCTCTGGTCGTCGATGAGCCGTGTGGGGAGGGGAACGTCGGGACTGGAGGGTGGAGGAAAAGGAGAAGGTGATGAAGGTCAGCTGTCCACTGGTTTGACCCCTGAGCCTGGAATACATATCCTAATCTGGGAGGACGTCCGCATCTGTGTAACGGGGCCTGCGTGGCTACTTTGAGAGAAAGATGCACACGCACATGTGCGAAGGGGGTGTTGAAGTCCAAGTGAACACAAGGAAAGGAGCAGGAGGGGAGGGAAATCCCGTTGAGCACTTACTGTATGCTAGACCCTGGGCAGGCGCTTCAGGTGGCAACTTCAGTCAACGCCCCTAATGACCGAGGACGAGCCTGAGCCCCTGGGGTCCCCTCATACGTGGTCTGAGGGGAGTCAGATCCAGGGAGACAGTAGGTAGAGGGTAGGCGCCTGGAGGGCGGACTTGGTGTTTAACGGGGACAGTTTCAGTTTGGGAAGATGGAACGTTCTGGAGATGGATGGTGGCGTTGGTTACGCAGGAACGTGAGTCTACTTAGTGCTACTTAACTCTGCACTTAAAAATGGCCAAGAAGGTACATCTTATGTATATTTTACTACGATGAGAGAAGATCGTGGTCCCCGTTCTACCAGAAGGCTGATGCCCGGGGTACCCTGAATGACTTCCGGAATCCACACAGCCAGCTGGAGGCAGGGCACGTTTTAAACCCAGATCTCCAGAACTCAGATGCTTTTACTACCCCTGCTCCGTGAGAAGGAAGAAGGCATCGTGGTGGGGAGGCTCCTGGGAGCGTCCGTTCTCAGAAACGCAAGGCGAGCAGCCTTCTGTGGAGACTGTGGGCATTCCCAGAGTAAACCCATTGATCCTGACGACGGAACCGTGTCGCACCAGCCATCTCGAAGGAGCATCAGGACAGCTTTCGCGGGAAGAGACTGCTCTGTGGGATGGGATGGCGGGCGGCCTGGGGCAGCAGGAGGAAGGGGCCGTCCTGGGGGCCTGGCCAGTCATTGCCATTCTTGCCATGGGTCCCTGCTCTTCCCACAGCGGTGGTGGAGCTCCTCCCGCTGACCCACCCCCCACCCGGTCCCAAGGGTCCCAAGGGGTCCCTCCTCTCGTATTTTTAGAGGAAGCTGGCGGAACTGTGTGCTTTCCACAGTGGCCGCTTTGATGTGTCACCACCAGAAATTCAGGCGACCCGGCTGACCGAGCTCGGGTGCGTGAGGACTATTTACAGACGTGAGCTGCAGAGCCGAGCACGTGAAGCCTCTAGAAGCGGGTCACAGCAGCCCCTCCGCCCCAGGAACTGGGACGTTCTCCGTGGGACGCGGGCTGGTCACCGTCCCCGTTCGCCATGGGGTGGCTCAGCCAAGAGGACGCTGGCCCGTCTTGCTTGACAGATGAGCTCTTTCAGACGGAGCCAGAGGCCAGCGAGCAGGAACGGGGCGCGGAGTCCACAGTGCAGGGCAGAGGGCCCACCCCAGGCAGCGGGGGTCCCGCTGGTGCCCAGCCAGCACCAACACAATGCTGTTACCAATGTTTTACCAAGAAAAAGCCCTCCCGTCGAGTTCCGTCTTCCACCTTCGGAAGGTATTCTGTTCTGAAGCCTTCACCGGGGAAGCACACTCTCTTTTCCAAAAGTGATGGGCTGGGTTTTTATCGATCCCAGTCCTTACTGTGGTCACGAAAAAACTCGGAGCCGGCTCCTGTGGGAGAGCCGAAGAAGGCCAGCGTTCTCCCTCCCCGGCACTTTCCGCCTGGGGTCGGGTGAGGGGGCAAGACGGGGGCCCAGGAGGAAGAGTCTGACAAAGCCTGAGTGAGCAGCGTGCACAAGCAGGTCCCCGAGGCCCGGACGTGGCCGAGGACCGAGTCCGCTGCGCATCTGCCCTGCTCTCAGGGCCCAAGCCCGCATCTGGCGGAGAGGAGAGGGAAGGTGGCGGCCCCCACCTCCACAGTCTGCTCCACCCACGGATGGACACCTTAGAGCCATTGATTAGATGCCCAGCATTAGCATTAGATGCCCAGCCAGCATCCAGAGAGGCCCCGGCCTGGCCTGCTCACGTGCAGGCAGCGCAGGGCCAGCCTGAGCCTCCCCAAGCTCCAGGGCCCCCCGGGGCCACGTCGTCCCCCTTCCTCAGGAGACCACATCACACCAGGGCTCAGGTCAGAAATCTGACTTCTGGCCATCCTGAGAGGCCTGACTCCAAGAGCCTGAGCCTGTCCCCGAACCCCCGTTACCCTGTGATGCTGGTGACAAATTGTGCTTGGTCTTCACCCCGGGACACCCTCTGGTTCGTGCATGAAGGGGTCTTCTGTTTCTGGAGCATCGAGGAATTGTGGAAGGGGGACATTTACTCCAGAGCCCTGTTAGCTTACGGATTGGTTGGTTTTAAAGCACGTTGTTGGGTCAAATTAAAGGAAATAGAAGAATTGAGGAGAGTTAATTTCTTAGGAAAAACTTCATTTGTTATTTCTGTTCATAAGTACTTCAGCCACTTGCCCTGGATTTTCCAGGACATTTTACTTCAGATATTTAGTCTCACTGGACTCCCTATACACGAGCTCATAAACCTTGAAAGAGAAGAAAACCTATCACGCCACCTCCCCTAAACGCGGGCTTGAAAGCCCTGATCTGCAGGGGTGCCCGTGATTCTGCCCAGGGAGTGCGCAGCAGAGAGCACACACGCCCTCTTGGCAACCTTCAGACTCCGGCCTGGGTGAGAGACATACATCCTGAGTGTCTTTTTCTCTTCTTTTTTTTGAAGATTTATTTTTTTATTTGAGAGAGAGCGCACGCGCAAGAGAGCAGGGGGCAGGGGCAGAGGGAGAAGCAGTCTCCCCGCCAAGCAGGGAGCCCGATGTGGGGCTCGATCCCAGGACCCTGGGATCATGACCTGAGCCGAAGGCAGACGCTTAACAACTGAGCCACCCAGGCGCCCCTGAGTTTCTTTTCAACTGACATTATGGATCGTAGCCAAAAACGTCCTGGCTATTCTGCTTTTAAGTGTGTTTCTGGTTCCCCTTGTCCCCTCCCTCCCTCC